TGTAACGGCTTTTTTAATTTTAGAGTGTCCCCAGTTTTGGTTTTGTTATAAGATTCGTTTTTCGTAGTGATCCCAAAACCACCGGATACTGCTTCATGGCCATACAAAGTGTGAAAATCTACAGGACTTAATTTAATAAACCTCTTTAATGGCATAGGATTTGTTTTTATAAGGCCAATATCATTTTTCACAACAAAACCCATATTCGTAATTCGAGACAAATACATAGGATGCGGAATCACTGAAACAACATGACTGAATGTATTGTTTTCTTTAAGTGAATTATAAACAGAACCATACCTTATCACTAGCTTATTGTGTAATCCTTCAATATACACGTGTAATTCTGTTAAGCAGTGAGCCGCTGTGACTGCCCATGTGGGCGACAGAGCAGACGCCGTGCACAGATGCGTGTGTCTACCATATATACTGCCATTAGCCATCTTATTTATATGCCTGATTTCAAGGCGAACAACATACGGATAAGCTCCTTGGTCCGCGTCTTCTCCACCATAAACTCTTAATGGTTGTCTTTTGCCAGAACATTGACTCGACAATATTACGATGAACAGTATGTACATGGTGTACCAACGTGTTCCAAACATATAACTAAGTAATAAATTATTTTTAAGCGACTACTTTATTGTTAATTTTTATTTAAAAACATAAAATGTTATCATGGTAATTCTATTCTATGCATTTTGTGTTTTATATATTATATATTTGTTATATTGATTCCTTGAAATTATTGACTTTTTGATAGGATTTTTGTTAGTATTATATAATTTCTTGTCTTACTTCTATTTGACACGTTAAGAACGACAGGTCCTCCGACCCGTCGCGCGTGGCTCTCCTTAGCTTGGTTGTGGGGCCGCGGCGTACTCCGCACGCCGACGGCCCCTCGCTGGAGCCCTGCGGGGCGGCCGCGTCTCATTGGCGCGTTTGCGCTCCCGCAGGGCCTCTCTTTTGGCCGAAACAGCCGTGCCCCGTGAGAAGCTGCGTCGGGAAGTAACTCGGCTCCCGGTGCCTCGCCTCCACCCACTGGCGCAGGACGGGGCGGACGGCCTCGATGAGCCGTCTGCTCACCGAGGCATCCGCCAACCTCTCCTTCCATCGCCAGAAGAGATCGTCGCGACCTTCCTTCCTCCAGCGTACGATCTCTTCCGGAAGGGGCTCCTCGCCTCGCTGCCGCATCACAGCTCTTCTCCGGTAAACCTCCGCTAGGACCCCGGCTTCGAGGTCCCAATGGAGGCTAGCGGAGATAAGGCACGCCGCCTCGTACGATACGGTGCGGTACGCTCTGGAGGCCCTCTGAGCCATGGTCCGCTGCGCACGTCGCAGTCGGACCATGTTGTCTTTGCTCAGGGGTCTTTTGATTGGGTTGGTTTAGAAGTTTTATTTTTTCACAGAACCTAGCGACCGCAGACCTGAACATTTGGTATAAATTCCAGCTTGATACCTTCACGCGTTTTTGATAAAATGGATCTTGACAGACGGATGGACGGACTACAAAGTAATCCTATAAGGGATCCGTTTTTTTTCCTATAAGGTACGGAACCCTAAAAATCATAATAAAACCAAATAATTTCTTTGGCTTGATCATGTTTCTTTTATCTTATCCGTATATTTACAGTTTTACGTTTTTTTCTATGATGCATAATTTATTAAGTTGTCCTAAAAGTCTCGCAAAAAGATCTTAGTTCCTAGTTGATACACATTCAATTTCTTACATGACTATTAATCCATTCAACATAGGGACCAACTGGGCAATGGAACCCTGCGTCTTCAATTCTAGTATTACCTGATGCACCTCCGCAATACATGTTAGGTCTACTAGCGGATAATACTGCAACTATGCCTGATGCGTGGATGACAGGGCCCCCGGAGTCCCCACCACATACAACAGCAATAGTTCCACATCGATAATCTAAACATAACAAAGGCCCTAATCCCGGTGTGTGCATGCATTTATTTATTATCACCTTAAATATTTGTAACGGCTTTTTAAATTTTAGAGTGTTACCAGTTTTGGTTTTGTTATAAGATTCGTTTTTCGTAGTGATCCCAAAACCACCGGATACTGCTTCATGGCCATACAAAGTGTGAAAATCTACAGGACTCAATTTAATAAACCTCTTTAATGGCATAGGATTTGTTTCTATAAGGCCAATGTCATTTTTCAAAACATCATATTGCTTTGTCTCTCGATCTACGTACTTAGGATGCGGAATCACTGAAACAACATGACTGAATGTATTGTTTTCTTTAAGTGAATTATAAACAGAACCATACCTTATCACTAGCTTATTGTGTAATCCTTCAATATACACGTGTAATTCTGTTAAGCAGTGAGCTGCTGTGACTGCCCATGTTGGCGACAGAGCAGACGCCGTGCACAGATGCGTGTGTCTACCATATATACTGCCATTAGCTATCTTATTTATATGCCTGATTTCAAGGCGAACAACATACGGATAAGCTCCTTGGTCCGCGTCTTCTCCACCATAAACTCTCAATGGTTGTCTTTTGCCAGAACATTGACTCGACAATATTACGATGAACAGTATGTACATGATGTACCAACGTGTTCCAAACATATAACTAAGTAATAAATTATTTTTAAGCGACTATTTTATTGTTAATTTTATTTAAAGCCGTAAATTGTTATCATGGTAATTCTATTTTACTCTTTTGAGTTTCACATAACAGGTATTTACCTAGGAAATTGCCGTTCTGCGGTACTGGCCATTTCAAAGCAAAATAATTTTTGTTTGACTAAGAATTCTATTTTCAAATTAATTTTATTTAAAAAACATGGAATTTTTGTTCCAAAATTAGTCGTTTGTTTATTGATTAGTGTTACATTTTCATCGCATTTCAAACTTTTCGTCATTATGGATACGTTAAAAATTCGAGTAATTATAGAATATTAGTACCATGGTCAGCAACGCGGCACAAGCTGCACGCAACATTAACTAGTTTTAAGGAGCTAACACTACAAACCAACGCAGCACCTGTAATTGGTTTGCTCGCTTCCATTCTGGAAGTTTCGACCTGAAAAATGAACCTCGCGGTCGTCCGAAGACTTTGTTCGAAAATGACGAAATAAAAGCGATTGTGGAAGCTGATGATACACAATCTACGGCTGAATTAGCAACTGATTTCGACGTTACAGAAAGAAAATCGACTAGAAATCAGTATTGTCAGTTGATAAAAAATATTTTATAGTCGTCATAGAAATTACTCAGTTTTAGAAGTCATACTCATGAGAATTAGTTTCCTAGGTATTTCTGATATTATTGCTTTTAAAAAGTGTACATCGTATTCTTGTCTGATATTTTCTGGGTATTGGGGAATACGGTGAACGTAATTAATGGTTACCTTAAAAGAAATTTCGTAGTAATGCGAGACATCATTTACTTTACCTGAATGGAAAGGAACGAACAGGCAATAAAATGTTTTGCGAATTGCAGTATTTATCGTACATACATTGTCTAACTGTGAATTTCTTCGACTTATTTCATATATATACAAAATTTGTAATAAAATTTTTATCATTTGATGTAACGCAATGTACATGTTTATATTTCAATAAGTTTTCATTTCGATTTCAAATCAAATCGGCGAGTGAAGAACTAAAAATCTCGATCCGTTGAACATTTGTTGTTGAAATGCTGCTTATTTTCATGCTACTCACGATTGAATGTTCCGGTAAGAAACTACCATTGAGAATTATTGGCGGTGAAAACAGTGAAGATTATCCATATGTTGTTCGCTTAGAGGTACAACATATCGCAAACTTTACTAGTAACAATACTATCGTAGCAAAGCATGATCATGTATGTAGCTCAGTTGCGCTGTCTCCTACGTGGGCAATGACAGCAGCGCATTGTTTGAACGATTTGAATTTCTTCTTCCTCGGTGCTCCTTACACCGTCGAGAAGCTGATAATAAGGCACGGTCACGTTGAGCACTCGCCTTGGATAAAAGGTACTTTTAGTGACGTCATTGCAATGGTTACACATCCTCTTTTTTCATACACATTTGACGACTATAACAGTAATCCAATCATAAAGAATGATATAGGTCTGATGAAAACTACTCCAATGGATTTAGATAATTATATCAAATTAAGCGCTGTAGATTTCTTCTCCCTCTACGGGCATGAAGCTGTTTTTGCTGGTTATGGATTAACTACGCAAAAGAATGCAGGTAAAACCGAAAGCCATGATACTTTAATGCTTAAAAAGCCATTGCAAATACTGAAAGTATTAATTTCTAGATGTTTGAATGGTGATTTACTAGAGCCAGCTTTATGTTTAGCATCAAAATGTGGACAAGTAGCGACGACGTGTCCCGGAGATACAGGTGGTCCTCTCATACATCCTTCGGGTATTGTTGGTATATTAGGAGTTAGTGATTTATCAATGTATTGCTATGATAAAAATATAAAGAAACCTGGAGACGTGACTGGTATTGTTGCACCAATTGGCCCTTATATCGAATGGATCTATGACCATATGTCGACTTGAATAATATTCCTAATTACTGACACAAACATTGTCTGCTAAATAAAATCCAATGAATATTTGTGATGTGTTACAATAATATAGTAAGGACAGTGTTAGTTAAGAAAAGGAAAGTGACGTCACTAAAATTTAACAAGGACACTTCAAGAGCATGGAAGTCGATTTTTATGATAAAATTCTATTTTATATTATTCTTCAAAGAACGTTACATTTCTTAAATTTTATATTATTAAATAGACTGTTTTAAATATTCAAATGCTATTAAATAAGTAAAAAAATAAAAATACTTTTTTTACGTAATTTTTATTTATAAAATACATAATACAAACATAATTTTATCATTAAATGATAATGTGACAATTTCATTAATTATTAAGTGCAACAAACTTTGTGAATTATGTGATAAAATTTTAATATTTCAATTAAAATAATAATTGTTAAGTTATTTTACTATTCTTGTATCACAATAATAATTTAATTGTTTATTTTAACCAAACTAATTGTGAATATTTTTCTGCTATTGGTATTGTTTTTCATTATCTTAATTTTAAGTACACTATTAACCGTTGGTTTCTTGGACAAACATCTTCGTATAAAACATATTGTAATCCCTGTCATTATCTTTGACAAAAAACAGTTATAAAAATATGAATTAAACGGAGATTTTGGTCTTGGAAACCCATGGTAAATATTTAATAACACACAAAGTCGTACAATGTACTAAATAACTAATTAACTAAAGTTAAGGTACTATAAAATAATAATATAATATAATTTATAGTATTTATCACATAATATAACCTAATTTGGAGACAGCAATGTATGTATTAAGTTATTTCCTATATACACTTCCATTCCAACTTTATAGCGATATGGGGTCAAACCAATGCAAGAGCGCAACAAATCCCTGTGGCTTTAAACAACGCGTGAGTCGTTGCGCGGAACACAATTTTAGGTGTATCGCGGTGTGAAGGAAGGTATAATGCATTGCGCAGAGCAGCCAAGATATTTGAAAATACTTATACAATATATAACTAAAGACATAGCTAGCCACAAGTTTTTAAATCCCATAATACATCTGGAGAATTTCAACCGAAAAACTGCTTTATTATATAGCATAGCAACAATTTAAAACACGCTCTTGCTTTACGTATAATCAGTTAAGCTTGTAAAATAAATGTATTGTGTTTTGTAATTTTGAACTAGATGGCGTTATTCTCAATATTTTTTATTCAGTATGAATATGGAAGAAATATATATGTTTAAACAACTTTTCAAAAAGCAAATTAACCAGAAATGATAACAAATAATAAGTTTTACAATAAACATTACTGAAACTAATGCAATCTGATTTTTTTTTATAACAGAAGGTGGCAAACGAGCAGCGGGAACACCGAGGTGTTCAACGACGCCCATGGACATCAGCAATACCAGAGGATTAATGATTTAACCTTAAAAGCCTTAAATCTCTTTTAATACGATCATTTTTATATCATCGCACCTCTTTATCTCAGATTATTTAAAATACTTTTGAAATTAGATGTATTCGATTTAAAAATTCTTTACTGTATTTTGTGAAAAAAATATTTTAAAATGAACATAGTATAGACCAACAAATCTATTTGACCCGGTATAAGACAAACTAAGTTTTGGAGGCTCACTAGCGCCTCCTTTTAAATTAAAAAAAAAGCAGCTACCGGGTCAGATAAGTTTGTCGCACTATAGTTAATAAGAAATAATGAGATAATGTAATTTCTATACATATCATACAACATACGATTTATTTACTACTATTATTCACATTTTCATGACAACCATACTTTTTTTACTAGTATTTATTTTTTATTTGACTTAATTTAAAATGGTGACCTTTGATCGTACGTGATTATATTGTGCTTATATTTTATTACTTAATTTATTAAAACTTATAAATAATTTAATAAATAAATGAAAAATTATCTATTTCAAATGTCAAGAAACTATTAAAAACGGTTACTCTATGATGTCTGTAACATCATAGAGTAACCGTAGAACTGCAGTGATACTTGTATCAATCATTGACCTCTATAGATATCCTGATTAGTTTGAGTTTCCAACAACGCTACCGCACCGATTGCCAACATGGCGAAAATCTAATAGGCACAAAAAACCACGGCTTATAGCCAGTCAATTGAAATATAGAGGTCAGTGATATTAATACATGTCATCTCTTTCATTCTCTTTGACTAAACAGAGACAATATAATTCTTTGGTCTAATCGTTGGTTTCAGGCACTATAATCCTACTAATTTTAGAAATACGAATGTTTAGATGGATTGGATGTTTGTTTTAAGGTATCTCCGAATGCATGGATCTCTCTGAAATTTGACATAGATGTAGAACATAATATGGAAGAATACATAGACTACTTACCAAGTTTGTTTTTATTTCCGCGCGCATAAAATATATTGTTATCTCTGTTTTGTCAAAGGTAATAAGCGGGAAGACGATATATTTTATACAAGGATTTTAATCTCACAAACAAACGATAAGTAATTTTCATAACGAAATTTAATTTCTTTTAATTTTGATACACTAAATTCGTCATATATTAATATTAATTCTAACCTCCAATAGCAGACATCATTGCGTTCATTTCGCTTTCATCATAATATTGGAACGCATCACTGGGCGCTGTTTCTAATAAATCTTCATAATCTTGACAAAGAACCATTGGTAAAAACAACAAAATTAACATCAGGAACCAGTTTATAAAGCAGGTAGATGCGCCGCTGTTATGTGTTACTGAAATAGAGTAAATTGAGAACATTACAACGTTATACTTTAAAATAGTTCATCATGTGGACATCGTTAACATGGTTAAGTAACATCTTTATCCTGCCTTTTCCCTGACTAGACATATAGTATGTACTACTCTTCCATTCATTACTATTAACCGTCATCCGAATCACCTCCTTTAGACAGACGCGAACAATTTAATCCTTATATTCTCCTTTATGTCAATCCTTAAAAATTCACTTAAGAATCGACTAAAAAATACAACCACAACTTGACTACTTGTCAATTTTGTACCGCATTAGATCACATCCCATTATGATCGCCCAACCTACCACTTACTTAAGACAAAAAGTAAAACTGTTTAAAATTTTACAAAGAAAATTTATTGAAAGTGTGTTTCCACTGAGTCTTACTTCTCTCCGGCCTAGGGCCGTTATTAGGCGCAAAGAAGTCCATATTTCGCCTTCTCGCGTAGACGTCATAGATGGTGGCCCGACACGACAGCCTCAGCAGGCCGGCGGAGAAATGCGCCGGAGTCAGTTTGATCTTGACGACAGCTCGCGCCCTGTCGTACGAAGAAAGCCACGTGGTGCTTAAGGGGCGAAGCTGGAAAACGAAAATAAAGGACTTAATAACTTAATAAAGTAATTAGACAACACTTATTAACTTGATTAGAAAAGATAAAATGGCAAAAATTATAAAAAAGTGTAGGACCATGTTCTATTAGAGAGAATGTCAACATCAATAGCTGTCAGTATATCAACGGGAGTCAAATATGAAGGAATTAAATGAACTGCTAGATTTCAATACTAATCTAATAAATCCGTGTCGCTATTTGAAAACCATGAAATAGCAATTGCAGGTTTTCTGACAGAGGTTGAGCTTAAATTTCGACATCTATACCAACCGGTTCGTCGTTGACGAATATTGTTATATTCGGTATGGGTTTCGCAGGGCCTGTAGTGCAATTCGCTATTAGTTCATCCCCGGGCTTGTAACTATCCATGTTAGTCTTCAGTATTGGATCGTAGGGTGGTAAGGCTGGAAATTTACAAAAAAAAAACAATTATTTAATAACATCTTTATAATAATAGAATCTTAAACATTCGTAGAACGTAGGAAATAAATCTGTGAACTGTTAAATTAAATTGTTAAGAATGTTTTATCATTTGAAAAATCAAATCTTATAAAGACAGTAGAAAATACGGCGAATATTTGAGAAGTATTTGCTCTAGGAAATTCTATTGCTACGGTTGCTGAATACGATGCAGAACATAAATTGATATTGTTTGCTGTCCGTGCTCTATTTTACAATTTACCACTTTCAGTTGTAAAATTGTTCGATTTTATTCTATCCTTAACATTTCAAATGTCATCGTCAGTTTCAATGCCCGGAACAGATGTGTGTGCAGATGCACAACACATTGTTGTCGATGTTATGTCGAAAAGAACATGATAACTAAAAGACGCCCATTAATCGAAATTCGATCATAATTCGAAATTTATCTTTAATAATTAAAATATGTTTTGTATGTTAAGGCAGTGGAGATTCGTAGTTAATTCACATTTTGTGAAATTAATATTTCTTTTTGTTATATCGACTATCAAAAGGAGGAGGTTCACGATTTTTATTTTAGAGATTTAAAATCGAGTCTATCCTTTTAGTTTAATTAACTATGGCTCTTACTTTTTAATATTCTCAAGTAAACTCAACAGGATGTTACATAAATCAGATAGCTAAAGTAATGTGGAGTATTGAGAAGCGAACACTCGTTACTACGACACGAGTGACGATTTATAGGTCAATACACAGTCATATTATGACACTAAATCACGCTGTGCTAAGATATTGAACTATCGGGAGGCTTTACACGTACTTGTATATATCATACGATAGTGTTTATGCCTTCGTTCACGTTAACACAGTAGAGAGCGTTAAGCTGCGTACAAACTACAGCTAAATCCAGACGTGTAGCGAATTATAAAATTATAAGAAATCCACGTCTGTAGCCAACCTTATATCAAAATAAGAATGTAACATCAATTACTATTATCCCTCTTTTGTACTGATATTGTGATTATCTTATATAAAATATCCATAACCATAATATTTCTTTTCCCAAAAATACTATTTCTGAATAATTATCGAAAACTTACTTATGATATCAGAAAACAGTTAATTAAGAATATAGTAGTTTTCAAATGTCTTGGCGGCTCGCTTCCCGCTCTTTGCGAAACACTGAATAGAACACAATTTACGTGAAGGGGGGCGTTGTGGGATACGGGGGGACACTTTGCTGCGCGCAATTGACCTTGGGCTGCCAAGATATTTAAAAAGAACTATACAGTTTTCGAATACGGAACTAACAGTGAAATTAATTAATAAACTAAATGAAACAATACTTACAAATAACTTCGATAAACTTGGTGTCATTTTTTGTGTTGAAACTCGACTCCGAAGTGACTTCGCAACTAAAGTTACCGGACAGTTCGTGTTCGAAAAACTTCACCAAAACATGAGTGCCGTTTGACTCGTTCGACTGAAATATGAGAAACACAAATTGTTATTATATATAGAAATACATTCACTCAATGTAAAGCGGTCTCAAAAATGTCTTCGCACTGCAGTTAAATAAAGTAGTTACAATAAAACACTGGTTAAATGGTGCGAGTCAAATTTAATAAAATCATTGCGTCACGTCGATATATGTAACGCGTTTAGTCGACATCGCTATCCAGAAACACGGTACGCCATCTATTGACATAATATAACAACTAATTTTCATAACATTGGACATTGAAAATATTGAGTTAATGTCAATAACTGCCGTGGGTGCAAATTTGTAAATACTTCGAGCGTGGAAGTTTTTTTTTCATAAGCTTTATAGCTATAGGTAAGCGATCATTGTGATAGGTGACTCACTGGCTCATTAACAACTTTCTATCAGAAATACTATAACCGTGGGTTCCTAAAGCCAACAACATTTCCTTTTAAAATATATTGTTAACTATTTTTTGTCATTAATAATCACAGGGATGACATTTTATAGAGATTTCAGTCTCAGAAAACAATGTTAAAAGCAGTAAGTATATGATAAAATTATTTTTCGTCTTCAAAAACAAATTGAAATAGAAGATTGTAAGAAAGAAAAAAATGTTTTAACAAGATTTACTTTCATTACAAATCTATTTCTTTAACTTTTTACGATATTTTGTTATGTAAATATTTAGATAATTTCATCAGACACAAACACGAATTGTTGTACAAAATTCGTTGAAGGAAATCCTATCCAATATGAATTTCGAATTCCTTGCATCAGGTACGCTTCGACAATTTTTCTTCATATTGAAACCAGCCGTTACGACTGAATTACGGCTTCGATCGTTACCTTTTCATACACTTATAGTTGATAGAATTCTCTTCTCTTGTGGCGTATATGCCGTTGTTTTGTCATTTCTTACAGCCCACATTATATACGAAGTATAAGAAAATTACAAAAGGCTTCGCCCAACTTGGCTTTATATTAATGACTGACTGTTGGCTTCTCATACTAAAATCTCCATTTAAAACATATTGCTATCACCGTATTGTCAAATATAATTATAATATTATTTTATAAACAGATTTCGGTCTCAGAAACTCACGGTTAGAGATTTAAGGAGATATTATTGATTTATATTTGGTGTCTTCTTAGCTCACGTCTTTCGACTCTTCGCGGAATTAAAAAAAAAACATTATAAGCCTATGTGTTCTTCCAGACTATGTTCTATAGGTGTTCCAAATTTCATTAAAATCCATGCAGCCGTTCCGGAGATACCTTCAAGCATCCATCAATTCATCTAAACATGCGCATTTATAATATTAGTAAGATTTACTTACTTGGATTGACAATCCTGGTATAACGAATTGTTTAAATGGGTGTTTGTCCCCTGGTGTGTATCGGAAGAATTCGTGGGTTCCTCGAATCCATTTCACTGTGTACACCATTTCATCTTCTATATTTCTTGAGCAGATAAGCTTGATTGGTATATCCCTGATGACTACTGGTGGGTCAACTGTCAGCTCAACATGCAAGTTACTGGTAACAGCTGGAAATGATAAGAAAATAATCATTAATTTTTGCAAACTGCCAGTCTTTTTTGCCGTCTCCTTAATTCAAAATTTTGTGGTACTTGACATGTAATCTTATCTCTTATCTATATATTTTTATACAGTATTAGAATCATTTGGCGTGAATGACGTCCTTTCGTTACAAAGTCCAGTGTCATAATGAATAGTGAGGGGACATAAATGTCGACATTTTAGTAAGGCTAGAGTTGCGTCAATACACTGGCTCATTTTCGGATTTTCTCCCAAACAATATATCTAAAAACCAATTGCTATTCGTTAGTCTCGCTAAAACTCGAGAACGTCTTAACGGATTTATCTTGCCTTAATCTTGAAATGTCCGTGGAGGTCTAGCGGAGGTTTAAAGGGTGAGAAAAATTCGAATATTTACCGGAAACCAATTTTTATCATTCCACGCGAACGGAGTCGCGAGCTACATCTAGTTGGTGATAAAGTTCACGAGTTATATTTAATATATAAATAATAGATAGAAAAAAACCTAGCTGTCACCCGCGACTCCGTCCGCGCGGAATTAATTTTACTTGAAAAACTTAATTTGTGTTCTTCCAGACTATGACCTATACTCATATGCCAAATTTCAGCGATTGCTGTTCTGGAGATACTTTATAACATCCATCAAAATATTCGCTTTTATAATAATAATAAGATAAGACTATAAAATATGTTTTTAAACTGCATACTCTGAAAAGATTTTTTAAGAACAATTATTTTTATATATATAATTCTCGTGTCACAATTTTCGTTTTCATACTCCTGCGAAACGGTCTGAAAATCGGACGGAGTCGCGGGCTACAGCTAGTTTTTATATAGATTTCGTTAACATTGAGCCAGAGTTCAACAAAAGCAGGTCAAGAGTTAAATATTCGATTTACAGTGATTTTTAAATCACAAATTAATAGACCTTGCAGGCAGTTACGATCGATGTTCAGAACTGAGGTACAAGTACACTTCATAGAAGTATTTCGACCTCTTGACCGTCATTCTAAATATACATACAATACATCTAGCTTGAGCACTTAATAATTTTCACCTATAAATGGCTAGACATGAAAAGAACAAAAAGAAAGTATAAGAAAAAAATCTAAGCAAGAAAAAAAAAATATCTGACATCAGCTTGCTTGCATTTTTGTCCAAAAATCTTATCATGCGAAACGTTCTTAGTAAGAGAAGGTGGGAAGGGGAAAAGGACTAAAATGATTCCTTATTATTCAGTTAAAACGTATAGTAGTTGAAGCGCCAATAGCCTAATGATTAAGGGTACGGATTCCGATTAAATAGTGGGGGGTTCGATTCTCGCCATTTGACTATTATCGTAAACTATGTCCAAGCACAAGCATAGAGCTTAGTTAATGGTACAAGAAATATTAGTAAATTAACAAATAGCTGCTTATTAAATTATTCAAACTTTCGTGAGACATTATACTAAACTGATATATAAACACGGCTAAACACTCACGTATATACGTCCGGTGGCGGCACCGACGTATATACGTGAGTGTTTAGCAGTGTTTATATATTAGTTTAAATAGCTGCTTATATAAAAAAACTGATAAATGTATAGATTAACTGGCAGTTACAACGCTACAACATATAAGGTACACATACGATTGAACAGAACAATCCAACAGTTAAAACTGAAAGTGGCCTACTTTATTTTACACGGTTCATACCGGAGTATTACTTTCGGGACATTTGGAGTGCCCTGAAAAATATTATTCTACGTCCATTGCATAAAATAAGCTTTTTGAATTCAATCGATGTAGACGAATGGAAATATATAAGATGGTAATTTATATTCAGGCAAGGAAATGTATTTCGAAAGAAGCTACATGTTTCTAAAGATACCGTATGTTTTTATGCTTTTCTTTATAACGATGAAAAGAATTTTTCCGTGAGAAATATCGAAAATATTTTGGTAATATTTTTTTTCTATAGAACGAGTTGCTTAATTTAACCCATTAGTGCATAAAGTTTATTAACGCCATTTTCATTATGATCACTGTAATATATTTTCATTTCGAGTGTTGACCATTAAATTGTATAAAATATTTAATCAATATGAAAGTTTAGATTTTATAGCCCGTCCGATAAATCGCTTCCCGAATGTCATACCAACAGTATTACCACTTCAAATATATATTACACTACAGTTTAAAAAAATAAACGGTTAGTAAAATATATATAACTCCTTAAAATAACAATTTTATTGGCGTCCGATTTATCGAACGTTATGCACTAAAGGGTTAATTACATACCATAAGTTATTGAATAATAATTAAAAGACAAATTAGTCAAAATAGAATACTACGAAGTCAAAGGAATCGAGAATATTCAGCCACAGAAGTAAATACATATCTGTAACAAATTATAATCGTTATTGTTTTAAAATCAAATCACTATTGAATGACTGATTGTTCTTGAATAATTTCGTAGTACATCAATGTATTGGTACAAAAATATTTGCACAAAGCAGATTTAATTAACTCTCACGGAATTGTTAAAAGAAAATCCAACAAAACCTATGTATATGGAAACAGGAAAAAGGCTGAATTATAGAGCCAATTACCGTCGCATCGTAAAACTGAAACTACGATAAAGAAACTTTATCTTCCAGGACAATGTTCAAACGAAATTACGAACAAAGATATTTAGACTGTGTAAAAAAATAATTAAAAATCACCTTATAAACTAAAAGAATGCATTAAAATCTTATTAAATGGAAAGTCTATTTTAACCTTAAACTTCATTCAACGACTTAGCTTATTTTCTGATTTAATATGTTTATTTTGACAGTGAGATATTCTTTGTCATGATCTTTTGAATATACAAATATCTTTAATATTATGACAAAATATTTAATAATCTGAATTTAAACGCTTACATTTTCTGTAACAAAATCTCTAGAATTATTTCTCTTTAGTATTTCCAAAACATATATTTGTCTCTGTTCATTCTGAATAGAATGAGAGGGATAGCAATATTTTATAACAAATCAATTTTAAATTATATAATAACCTTCATTTGCTAGTATTTAGTTCACGTAGCGCTTGCTCATGGGCATTGATTGCGCTGCTCTCTTGACGTGACGCGGTTTGAAAACTTATTCCTTGAGATGCTGGGAAGATTCTATTAAATAATAGTTTATTAGAAGTTATAAAACAAAAATAACTATAACCTAAAACTAATGTATTAAGTCCAAGAATTTTGTGAATGAATGTTTACGTATTAAAGTGGTAGAAAAAAATAGCAATCTTTTTTTTTGTATGGGAATAAGATTTTTATTTAAAAGGCGCTTTAATTTATAAAGCTTATATACATTCGCTGTGCATTATTTGTGATAGTAATTCTCAAATAATGTGTTATAGCACATTTTTGTATTTCAGTATATTAAATGTAACATAGCATTGTACTCGTAAAGTAACTTATATGCAATAAAATTTATGCCTTTGAGACGGAAGTGTTCTGAAAAATATTACTGCACGCCCATTGCATAAAATGAATCTTTCAAATGCACACGATATAGAAATGCTTGAATGAGAAATTTGCATTCGGAATATACATATTCCTAAAGAGTATTTTTCCTTTAAAACATTCAATTTAAAAATATTTTCAAACATAATATTTCTTATCCTGTTATAACTGTTGTTTATAACACATTCGTTAAGATGTTGAATAATATATTGTAGAGGTCCAAAGGTGACTTAGTCTAATACTTTAAAGGTCTTCTAAATTTTTTATGTTTTTCCATAATTAATACTTTATTCTGCCGCTTTTATTTAAAAAATATTTTATAATACCAACTGTTAATATACTTTCAAGCTAATTTAGACCTAAATACCGAGAGACATAGAACTGTTTTTAATTTAAATTAAAAATCTTATTCCCATGAGTACATGTATACGATACGTGTTGTTTTAATATCTTATCTAAATTAGTTATCTCGTTGCATGACATTTTTTTAATTAACGTTTTTAATTTAGAATACCAATAAAACAAAAAAGAATCCATTAAGCGAATTTCAAAAGCGAAAGCATGCGCCGGTATGCCTCGCCCAGATGCATTTTTAATTGAATTTCACGCAAACAACGGAAACCAGTTTTCCAGGGTTTTTGTTACATCAAACTGGAAGGAAATTCTTTTAATTATGTTCTGAAGTGGTCGACGTCAGAATAAAATACCTTTATTACAATATTTACGATTTACAAAGCGAAAAATACAGAAGGAGTTTTTCTCGTTTCGTATCATGTTAGGCAGAGATTCGAAACATTTTTTCTCGAAGACGCATTTCGAATTTCCTTTAACTTGTGAACAATCTTACAAAAACATTCAATAATCAAACAATTAATAAGTGAGTTAAGCCGTTCCTAATATTTATATTAAAAATATTAGTAGATTTATTTTTAATTTCCTAATATTTTTTGTACCATTACAACTAAGCTATATGCTTGTGCTAGGAATATGGTTTACGACAATAGTCCAATGGTGGGATCCGAACCCTCGACCTCGTCATCGGAAAACCGTACCCTTAACCATTAGGATATTGGCGCTTAAAAATAATTAAAATTAATTTTATTATAATGTCTCATGAAATTTTAAACAATCTTAAAGGGTACATTTGAACATAAATTCAATAGTCTTTAAAAGGCTATAGAAAGAAAAATAATTTCGGTCAATTCATCTTGATATTGTCGCAGGCATACAATAGGGGAAATTCTATTTTCTGCTACATTACTCGCTTCGATCACGATGCCGTTCTAATAGCCTTGTTCTGACGTAATGTGCAATCGGTTATATGTACCATGCACTTCTTTAGTAAAATGTTCACGATCCCTGTTTTAAGTCATTTGAAATTTAACGCTCTATTGAATGAAATGAACGTTGAATTATTCAATTGTCCTTACAACTTCGTTGATAATCAACGAATTAGAGTATAAATATTACTTGATTTTAATTATAAAAG